ATGTAACATGTAATCTAATTTCATATAATTGTGTAATTTGAATTCACTCATTCACTTTTATATATATATATATATATATATATATATATATACAGGGTTGTCGGCGTTCGGAACGGGCCGAACTCCCGAACCCGAACGCCCGAACGTACGGGACCCCTTCGGAAGGCGTTCGGCAGTTCGGGCCGAACACGGACCAAAAAAAAAAAAAAAAAAAAAAAAACAGTTTTCAAAAAATTACGAAAAAAAAAATTGTTATGGAGAAAAATAAACTAAACGACATTTGCCTGGGCACTGTATCCAAAATCTTTACCAAATTTGAATTACAAATCAAATACAGAAAATAAACACTATGATAAAAATAAGAAAAAATACAAAGAGAATTAAAATGAGTGAATGTGCCAGCACCTTTTCGACACCGCCATCTTTGCCGATTTTTATTTTTTGGCATTGACAAATGCCCTGAAAATTTACAGATATGTAGTTTACATAATCARTAACTCGTTAAAAAAATTTCAAAAAATAATAACATTTTTTAGGCCCCGAAATAAAGTGAAAACAAAAAGTTAAAAGTGAAAAAAAAAAAAAAATAGTGAGTGGGCGAGCACGTTTTGACACCCCCATCTTTGACGATTTTTAATGTTTTTTTGGCTTAGCAGAATGGCTTCAAAATTTATAGGCGTGTAGGTTACATCATAGAGAACTCACAAAAAAAAAATCAGAAGAAAAAATTTATTTTTAGGCCCCGAAAGTTTTTTTGGCGGGGGCCAAACCTGGAGGTGTTCGGCCCCCGAACGGGACCCCGAATGCCCGAGCGTTCGGGGGCCAGCCCGGGGGCCCTCAAGCGTTCGGTCAGTTAACCCTCTCTCTCTCTCTCTCTCTCTCTCTCTCTCTATATATATATATATATATATATATATATATATATATTGGCAAGGACCCTTAGCCAAAGGTTGTTTGCTTTACTATGCTGTGTTACTTCTTTTCGGAGGACCGGAAGCATTACCCAGCTTCGCGTAGTATGTTCGTATAGCTGGGAATCAGGCCCAGCATCGCTGACATCAGGGTGCCACGGCGGTTTGAGAAGTGAGTGAGGCACACCGGCTAAGCTTAAGTCTGACCGCAGCCCATCAAAGTCATCCGACATGATTTTGCATGTTTTCTCCTTTGACGTTTGTATTATGAGTCAGCATTGTTTATTCGTTGACTTTTCAACGACATTGTCTGTGATGATGCGACGAAAAACCTTAAATTTTTGGCCTTCTAGTAACCATTTCTCAGGTAAGGATAAAAGTTTAATCGAAAATCCTATCGAGTAATGACAGTGATTTTTTTTGTTCACACAAGGATCTATTGCAAATGATTAGTAGGAGTTTGCAACTTCCGAATGATTCTTCGAGGAAGATAGTATATAAGTAGAGGAGAAATTATGTTTTGAAAGGTAAGATAATGAATGCAATAGTAATTCTGGATACGTGTGCTAACGATGCTTATAAAATGTTATGCAGTAAAGGAAAATGGAAGGTAGATCATGAATGGATAACATTTTGAAGGGTCTACAAAACTATATTCCTCATAGGATATTCGGTTACATGGTTAGGAGAGGAATTGTATTTTATCATGAGAAGTTAAGGGAAAATATTATGTGGTTGATAAACAAAATTGTTTCTAAAGTTTCTGTGAATTTTGCACTGTGGAAGGTAAGGGCAAAAATGGCTTGAATGTAGTGAACCTTTTGTTGGGGAAATCATAGGTAGAAATTGATTTGGATCTCATGGTTAGCCCGCACACATACCTTTCTAATTCAGATAGGTACTACCTTGTAGAATCTATCATGCAGCGCCGACATGCTTGGTAAAATGTCTTTAGTTGATAGGTCGCAGTTTGTATAGATAATGTCAGCATTGCATTATCCGATAAGTCATTTGTAAGTTGTGGTGAGTAATATGTATAAGTCGTTATCGTCTACAAGAGTTCAACTTGCGACTTTGGCGACTGTGAGTCTCGAGTCGTCTCAATGGATTTTTCGCCTCTCACGAGTTTGAACTCCGACATCACTTTTGAGGTGAGGTGATCAATTCACGTATGTGGTTATTGGTAGCAGGTGTGTTAGCTGAGTAGGAGCAAACTAGTAGATTTCTTGGTGGGCCAAAAATATGGCATAAGAGCATGTAAATATTTTTTGGATGGCCATGTGAAACTGCTCATTGTTCGATTGGCACTGCAAGAGGACGTGTGAGTTCCTCCGATCATGTTGTTAATGCATTTGTTAAATGAAATCTTCCCTATGAAGGTAGGGGGCTGATATGGATGATGGGGGTATGTTTGGCATGGTATCGAGTGATATGAAAAATAAATTTTGGGGTTTGGGATGAGTTGAGAGAAGAGATCCGGTTGATTTAAGATTGTTCGTTATAAACCGATTGTTATTGTGTTTTTGTCTCTCACGAGTTCGAACTCCGACATCACTTTTGAGGTCGGGTGATCAATTCACATATGTGGTTATTGGTAGCAGGTGTGTTAGTAGGAGCGAACTAATTGATTTCTTGGTGGGCCAAAAATATGGCATAAGAGCATCATGTAAATATTTTTTGGATGATCATGTGAAACTGCTCATTGTTCGGTTGGCGCCGCAAGAGGACGTATGAATTCCTCCGATCATGCTGTTAATGCATTTATTATAATGAAATCTTCCCTCTAAAGGTGGGAGGCATGATGTGGATGATGGGGGTGTGGTTGGCATGGTATCGAATGATATGAAAAGTAAATTTTGGGGTTTGGGATGAGTTGGGAGAAAAATATTCGGTTGATTTAAGATTGTTCGTTATAAAACAACTGTTATTGTGTTTTTGCGCTCGTAAGAACAATTGTCTCGCTTAGTCAACGGAATGCAAAAGATCACAAACTTGAATTTTATATCATCTAAAAGAGAGATTCGAGCACAAGTCGAAATCGACAATAAAATATTGTTAGTCGTAGGTAGTCTGACCTTAGTTCTGAATTATTGTACATGTTTCATATGTAGTTTTGCAGATCAGTATTTGTTTGCATATTGTATGTGGCGAGTCGTGATGTACATATTCGGTTTGTGTGTGCAGTCAGGGTGAGTGCTAAGTTTTGTGAATAGACGTCGTGTTCACCTTTTTTTGTTTGTTGTTTTTATGCATGATGGTGGTTTTCGTGACTACGAGTGTCATATTTAATGGAATGGTGGTCAATGTAATTCTTGGGGATTGTACCAGTCGGGCCGCCAGAGTCTCTTTTTTTCCCAGGTGGCCCTACCGTGCAAGGACGAGGGAAGGTCCCATGCGCCCCCCCTCGCAAAAAAAAAAAAAACTGAAAATTAACTATGTTATGTGAAAACATAAATTGAACGACTTTTGTCTCGGGCTCTAATCGAAATTGTTTACCAAATTTTAAATAAAAAATAAAAAATATATGTATTTTTTAATTTTTTGTTTTTGGCCCAGTCGGGCAAGTGGTCTCAGGCCACTCTGGTAGCCTAGGTACAAAGTGAATTTTCGGTAGTTTCTGCGATGAAGATAAAATATTCACATCTCATTGAAGGGTGATATCACCTTCTGCTGATGTTCATATGCAGTTAGGTGTAGGAAACAATTTTGGGGCTGCGTATGCGCGTGCAATATTGGATTGGAGAGCATATGCATATCTTGAAGATTGCACGTATTTGAGTTGTCCGATCGATGAAGTGCATCACGGCAGTGAACATCGTGGGTGTGAGTCTGATCCTATCATTGATCATGGCGTTTGAGGTTTCAAGTAATTAGGAAATGAAGAGGATATGGTACGGTACCTTAGTGATAAGAAGGACCTTCTTTGGAGCCAAGATCAATCGTTAGTTTTTTTGCGGAAGAAACTGGCTAAAATTGATACATTAAAAAGTGTGTTATAGAAAGTTGAGTGCACGTTGGCAAATCAACGATTTATTTAATGAACGGTAAACATTCCTATCAAGAGTTGAAATGGACCGACTGAATATTGTCTCTCGTGTTGAAACACAACGAAAGAATATTCTCTCACGATTATGGTCATTTGATGTAAACGTGTTAAGCGATGAGATTGCTAAATACAGCATCCGGGTAAATCCACACCTCAAGCGAGTGTTAATCAAGGAGATTGTTAAACACAACACCATGTAAATCCACACCTTAAGCGAGAGTGTGATGATCTGCGTGACTGACTGACATCAACAAAAATTGTGATGATCGGACCGCTGATATATTGTGCACTTGCAATTGCCGAGGCATCTTCTACTGGTCATCTCTTTGACTTGCCTTCGGATGAAGTTGCCATGTCGTTTCCTATCAGTTTTTTAATCGGTATGGTACAATCTCTGCAAACTATTACTTCGAAACTTATACATAAGAATACAATGTTGGGGGTGCAAAATGCAATGACATAACGTAACCCTATAGCAGCCACATCTGTGCTCAAGCCTCCAATCAGGTGGGCGATAGTGGCCAGGGGTCAGCCGGTAGCATTAGGACTGAGCTTCTTCGATGGGCCAGTCAGTGTGCCTCCCTTTCGGTCCCCTCCCCCTATGCACATCAGCAGTCTCTGCGCCACTGGGGGGGACCAACGGCATATCTCTAGGTGGTGGGTGCCAAGCATGCCCAGGAAGGTAGATGAGGCCAGTGGGGATTGAACCCAAGACCTCCTGAATGCCACTTGCGTGCCTTACCAACTGAGCTAGGCCGCTGGATCCAGAAGGGAGTTTCGGGGAAAACGCTCCTCCAAGGAGCTATACGGGGGCAACTTCGCGAGAGGAACATAGCCTACACAACGGGCAACTTCGAGGAACATAGCCTACACAACGGGCAACTTCGCGAGAGGAACATAGCCTACACAACAGACCCCTCCAAGGAGCTATAGGTAGCCTACACAACAGACCCCTCCAAGGAGCTATACGGGGGCAACTTTGCGAGAGGAACACAGCCAGGGCCGGGCTTTCCATTGAGGACTCCATGTCGGCATCACGCGCCAGGTCATCTCTCTGCTTTTCCTCCCGCGCCCGGGCGCGTGCACCACCGGACACGTCGCCGCTCTGCGCCTTGTCCGCATACACACACCCGAAACAGAAAAGAAAAGGTAACACTTCTTTTTTCCGGCCCTCATCTTTCCCGAACGCAACGTGCGCTCATGATGAATGTATACAAGCTATATTTCCGGTTCTATGCAGTCAAGATGAGGGTGCGTTGTGTTCGGGGGAAGACGGCTGTATGGCACTCCATTACACACCGCCACGCTTGACGCGCCGCGTGCAACATCGGGCCTCTCTCCACTACTCTCCAAATGTGCAGAATGAGAGTGAATCTTCCGCTAGAACATGGAAAGAGAGATACACCGCCGTGGTTTTTGTCGTTTGTGCATGTGGAGAGTTGTGGATAATGCCCATCATCCTGACGACCATGTACACACCTCGTTTTGTTCTCTCTCTGTTTTCTAAAGCCATGTTCTACCCTGTGTACCCCAGCCCACTCACTCCCTCTGTACCCCATTCTCTTCTCTCTACGTTACCTTCTTCGCCCTCCCTCCCTTCCCCTTCTGCTCATCTTCCTCCCCTGGCCCCCAACCCTGTTTCTTGTTATTTGAGCAGTACCCATAACATAACTCTTTACCCTCTTAGGCTAGGGTAGACTAAGCATAGCTTCAGGTATTCAATCCTCCAACAATTTGATGATTCCCGGTTCCTATTGGTGCCGTGAAAAGCGTAACTGGCTAATGCTGCCAGAGGTTTCACTCCGGGTTGAATTGTGGGGACCCCGGCCCCGGTTACTTGGTTCTTTGAAATCAGACTCTCCAATTTCTTTCAAAAAAAAAAAAAAAAGCCATGTTCACATTTCGCTGTCCTGCTGCGGATTTCGAGATGGCGCTCATGTCGATTACTAAAGACGAATTGTGGAGTTGTGTATAGCGAACATGACAAACCACGCACACACACCCGGACTAAAACACACAACAAAAAAGGAGAGGAAAAAAAGGAGAAAGGAATCGGTTGCAAGTGTTTGCCTTGTTTCTGCATCAATCTCCGATGAATTTCAATCCTCTCGTGGGCGCCACATGGCACACCTTAGCCCTTTTTTTCCCCTCATAACCAATAAACCGTCTTATTAGGTGGAGAAAAACACAGAAAAGAGAAGCCCGCCTGATCTCCCCCCCCCCCCGGTTCTCCCCCCCTCCTCCCTCCTTGACACCGTCTTCTTTCTCCTCCTCCTCGCCCCCTTCCTTGTTCCCCTCGCCACGTGGCGCCAAGCCCTTCCCTGTCTTGATTATTCCCATCTCCTTCCCCTGTGGCTCCGCCAGCTCCTGTCACAGAAAAGGAAAAAGGAAAAGAGAGGGATATGAAAGAAGTAAAAAGAAAAAAAAAAAAGAAAAAAAAAAAAAAAAAAAAAAAGAAAAAAGAAAAGAAAAAGAAAGAAGTAAACGGAATATCTCCGTAGCACGACTTCACTCTGCCTGAACTCCCGATCCGGATCCGGATCCGGATCCGGATCGGTCTCTTCTCCCCCATCGTATTGAGAGTATCGGGATGGGCTTGTCTCGAACAGCGGAATTTCGTTTTGGTGTGATCACTACCATGCGTGTGTGATAAAATCACCTCACATCCACATCACATCACGTCACCTCGACAAAAATATCGCATCCTATATGACATATCTCGTATCAGATCAAGCCAGGCACACGATTGGTTGACAACGACAGAGTACAGTACTACCGGTAAGGTAGAGAAGAGGTTAACAGAGCCCTAAAAAATTTTCAGGGTGTTCACCTGGGGCTGAAAAGTGGGCGTCCCTGTTAACCACTTGTGGTAGAATTGATTTGAAAAGTCAACAGTGTCTTGAACTTTTGTTCCATTTGTTGACATAAGATTCTGTCTATGCTTTCCTCTTCTCCACCTTCTTCTTCTTTTTTTTTTTTTTTTTTTTTTTTTTTTTTAACTCAGCTGAGTTGCTAGTGGTGGTGAGACGAGCATCCACCACTAGCAGCCCGGCCGCTGGCTCCATTCTATTGGTGGGGAGCTGCACCTGCTGGAAAGTCGGCGGGCCGCCAGGCATGGTTGTGCGGAAAGCCCCGCTAGGATGATCGGAGCGCAGCCGATCCAGGCGCGCACTGGGGGGGAATGTGCGCGTAAGCTGAGACTAGTATACGCGGCTGTGTATTGAAGAACTTTCGATTCGTGTACCGAAGGCAGTTGGCCCCTGTTTTCACTATTCTTCCTCTCTTTCTTCATGTGCTTGCGTGGCCTGACTCGATTGGTGTGGTCGGTCGAAAATTTGAATTGATTTTGATTGAAGTTGTCATCAACAACAACAACATCGTCCTCCTAAACCCTGAACAGGAGATGGCAAAACATTCAATCAGAACTTGGAGCTTACTGGTCTTCAGCTGTACGGATGTTCTCCTTGCTCTCATCGCTTATTGTTGGCCTTGCAATTCACTGCTATTTGTATTTGCCATTCTTCTTCTTTTTCGCCATCATTATCCTTCTTTCTTTCTTTCTTTCTTTCTTTCTCTCTTCAGCAGTGAAGTTGATGCCGAGCTCGGTGATTTGAGTTACTCAAATCGTTTGCTGGTGGTCTTTGTTTGCTGTGACAGATTAGTTGGCATATTGTGCTGCTGCTGCTGAAACGACTTCCTTCAATTGGTCATCACCTCCGACCGCAAATTGATCAAACCCACTGGTAAGGAATCAGTTATGCAGAGGCACACTCACCTATAGCAATCACAGACACACACACACTGAGAGAGAGAGAGAGAGAGAGAGAGAGAGAGAGAGAGAGAGAGAGAGAGAGAGAGAGAGAGAGAGAGAGAGAGAGAGAGAATGAAGCTGAAGCAATTACAGTCGATGCTGGAGGATGTGGAGCAGTTTGAGTCTCCGAACGTGGAGTTAGAGCAATACCCGACAGGGGCGCATATTGCGGCGCGCATGATGTATACTGTGGCCACCACCTTCGGTGATATCGAGGGAAAGGTGGTGGTGGACCTGGGCTGCGGCTGCGGAGTCCTAGCGATTGCTGCCTCCCTTCTTGGTGCCGCTCATGTGATTGGCGTTGACGTGGACACGGACGCTTTGGACCTTGCAAAAGCCAACTGTGAAAATCTGGAAGTGGATAAGGTTGAATTCGTCCTTGCTGACGTGGCGTCACTGGGTTGGAGGGACAGTGTTATCAAATCCGTTGATGTGGTCGTGATGAATCCACCATTTGGTACACGTAGGAAAGGTGCTGATATGCAGTTCCTTAGGGCCGCGCTGTCGATGGCTGGCTCCTCTGTTTACTCGTTGCACAAGAGCTCGACACGTCAGCATGTCCAGCGGGTAGCCATAGCTGAGCTTGGTGCAGCATCAAGTGAGGTTTTGTTTCAGCTCAGATATGACATCCCCGCCCTTTACAAATTTCACAGAAAGAAGGAGGTTGATATCGACGTCGACCTTTGGAAGTTTAAGTCCTCCTCCTCCTCCGCCTCCCCCTCCCCCTCCCCCTCCCCCTTCCCCTTCCCCTCCCCCTCCCCTTCCCCCTCCTCGTCCCCTTTCTCTCTGGCGAGGCTATCAAAAGGGGCCAAGGTGCATAAAAGAAAATGATTCGGGAACAAGGGGGGAGGAGTTGGAGAATGGAAGTGTATTTTTCTTCCTACTTCCCCTTCCCCTCCCCCTCCCCTTGCCCCTCCTCCTCCCCTTTCTCTCTGGCGAGGCTATCAAAGGCGGCCAAGGTGCATAAAAGAAAATGATTCGGGAACAAGGGGGGGAGGAGGTGGAGAATGGAAGTGTATTTTTCTTCCTGGAGCAAGGTCACAGAGAAAGCAAGGACAGCGAGAGGGAATCCTGAGGAGCCTGGTCAATGGTGTTCTCTCTTTGGAAAACTCCCAAGCAGAAAAGGTGGAACTAAACCAGCAGCAGCAGTAAGATTAGGAGGGCCAGAGGTGGAAGAAGAAGGCAAACCAGCTCAATCCTCATGCTGTTGAGAGCTGTGAAGACTTGAAAGACAGGTAGGATGCAAATGCCGAGAGATAGAGATAGATAGATAGATAGATAGATAGATAGATAGATAGAGATAGATAGATAGATAGAGAGAGAGAGAGAGAGAGAGAGAGAGAGAGAGAGAGANAGAGATAGATAGATAGATAGAGAGAGAGAGAGAGAGAGAGAGAGAGAGAGAGAGAGAGAGAGAGAGAGAGAGAGAGAGAGAGAGAGATGATGTCTGAGAGAGAGAGAGAGAGAGAGAGAGAGAGAGAGAGAGAGAGAGAGAGAGAGAGAGAGAGAGAGAGAGAGAGAGGATGTCTGTGTGTGCTCTAGTGCAATCTCTGTCGATGACCCGTTTGGTATCGAGAGCCATCAGCTGTTGAAGGGTCTGTCCTAGGACAACGGTGAAGGGTGGAATCGGAGTGGCAAATCCAGACGAAGTATGCATGGATAAGGGTTTTCCTTGTCTACATCCAGCAAAGACCGCTCTCAGAAGGGGAGGCTTTTTTAAAGCTTCAAAGATTTTGTTAGGCAACTGTAACTGTAGAGGAAAAGTCTTTTGGCTCGTGTTCGTGGACAGGCGACTCTTTTGTCATTCATGGAGACTCTACCCGTTATGGATTGGCTAATTGGTTGGCAAAGGCTTGCATGTATCCGGTAAATAAAGCTGGTCAGATGCAGCGTGTTCATGTTGGGAAAGGGAGAAGGGAGGAGGAGAGGCTGGGAGAGCTCGGTGGTGAACAGTCTTGATGGTGATGAGGAATACGTTAAGAATAGAGAGTATTCAGAGGTGTGTATGTAAACAACATGACCTGATTGGATCGGAATGTTCTTTTTTTAGATAAGGTGAAGAAATGTGGAGAAGGTTCATCGACAGTACTGAATGCAATTGGGTCTGGGCTCTGACGTTGGTAATGATTGCACCTGGCCGTCTTTGTGGTCAGATGCGTCTTGCAGAGCTTTTCTAGTTACGGAATGTTCTTTTCTAGATAAGGTATGAATGCCCAAGCTTCAGCTTATTAGAGCATGCCATTCTCTTTGTAGTAGGGGTTTTCAACCGTATGCTCCTGGCCGTCTTTGTGGTCAGATGCGTCTTGCAGAGCTTTTGTCTGAGTACGTCCTAAGAGCATGCTGGACTCTCTGGTAGACCTCAAATGCTGCAGGCAGTGTACTCCACTCTTTCAGTGCGTTGTTGTTTCCTTGTCACACCTCTTCAAACGGGGAGCAATAGAGAGAAGGTTGGCTGGGTTTTTACATCACAAGGATGGTTGCAATATCTCTTATTTTTAGAATTGTGAATCATCGAGTTAAGGTAAGATTGCCGTGGCGTCTGTGGTTGATTGATTGATTGCATTGCCACATTTTTATTTCTGTGACATCAAATTTCTAGACCCCTAAACTGTCTTGTGCGATGAATGATTGATCTGTCACTCGCTCTTTTATCGTCATAGTTGTTCAGAACGGACTTGTGAAAAGCGGATGTCCGCTCCAATATGTGTGTGTGTGTGCGCGTTTGTCTGTGTGTGTGTGGGGGTGTGCGGGTGTGTGCGGGTGTGCGGGTGGGTTTGTGTAGGGGTGTGCGTGTTGGTGTGTGTGCGGGTGTGCGTATGGGTGGGTGTGCATGTGGGCGTGTGTGCAGGTGTACGTGTGTGTGTGTACCACACACACACATGCACATGCACACACGCAGACACCCACACGCACAACCACACCCACACCCACTCACACACACACGCACACCCACACCCACACCGCACACAGCACACACACACACACACAGAGAGAGAGAGAGAGAGAGAGAGAGAGAGAGAGAGAGAGAGAGAGAGAGAGAGAGAGAGAGAGAGAGAGAGAGAGAGAGAGAGAGAGAGAGAGAGAGAGAGAGAGATGGGGCGATGGATGGACCGACGGATGGCAGAGAGGTTGTGTTGTGCGGGCATAGCTAGCTGACTTTGACTGTTGCAATTCTTAAGCTCTGGACCCGAAAGAAGCCCCTGCGTGTTAATGTTGAGCCTTTATCACCATCGTGTCACTGTGTGTTTTGTGTAAGCGATGGCGTTTGTTATTCTCTTTTTCAGCATTGCAATCTTGCGAGCTTTCCCTCTTTGTTGTGCTGCAGGACGGTGTGATTTGTTAAGGCCAAACGATTCGAGAAGGGATGATGGGGCAGACTTGGACCAGGTGCCTTCAGAAGTGGAACATCTAGGGAGGAGTCGAGAGGAAGCAGAGTATGGGGGTCTACTGCTGTGGAAGGAATATGTTTTGTCAGGTGCGTTTGCACGTGTATCAAAATGCCATCTATACCCTGTCACAACGACGGATCTCCACTGGTCTTCCTCATCCAAGCCGTTGGATGAGATGGAACGGTGGATGCTATCGACCGTTTGCTGATGTCCGTTTCAGGTCCAGTGCGTCTTCGCGCTTTCCACAGTCCTGCCTATGGCGATCCGTCAGATCACGAAATTTTGACGAGCTCTGGCCGAGGGGCAGTCCTTGCTTGGGTTCTGCGTTCCTGCCACAACTTGCACCTGCACGCTGTCTGACAGGTGTTGGGATACAGACTTCTACGATGTGTGCAGGGTCCCAGTTACCCCGTGGAGTTGTGGGAGGGCCGTGGGGCGATGAGTGTGGAGAAGAGGGTGATGGGCACAGCAAGCGGTTGTCAGCAGCTTTGGCTTATCTGGAGACATTCATCAATCTCGAGAGGAGGGGTTTACCTGCAGGAGGGGGAATGGACTCTGACAAGGGACTTGATCTGATGAGGATGCGGCTGCTTGTCCAGCGTCTTGGCGATCCTGTTCGGAAGTATAAGGTGAGGAATTCTCTTTGGTTGCTGAAACTCGATTCGCTGGACAATCAATGTGATCCTGGAATCGATTCGTCTTCCCAGTGGTGAACCCATTTAGTGGTCCCGTGGTGGTCCCATGGTGGCCCCATGGTGGCCCCATTGTGGTTCCATTGTGGTTCCATAGGGGACAGAGGATCTGAAGGGATGGATTGGGTTGCAACCAGGCTGATGTCTGTTGGGGCTCAGGCTATCGTCTTTCTCCAAAGAGAAAGAAAGAACGGGTAGTATTGCTGTGGTTTGTTACATGGCACTGGTTGTGGGAATGGCCATATAATATGATAATAGTAATGTCCATGCCTTTTTATTTCCGGATGATGGAAGCTCAGGGAGCTGGCTTGGGTCTTTATCTCCTTCAGACATATTTGGTGAAGGAGTTCTAAAATGCCTTTTGGCAAACCACCAGTACCTCCGACCCTCTTTTTTCTGATGTGCGATGCTACCTGACCCTAAAGGTTGGAACCATCATGGGCTCCATTTTGCCTGGCGCCACCAATCTTTTTTGGCTGGACCTTTCCACAGCAGCGGATTAACTGGCAGGTGTGTGCAGTGTAGCTGGGCGAGGTACTGGTGGTTTGACGCTCCTGAATCAATAAATTTGCCGCTCCCAAGATAAATGGAAGCTCCTTAAACCAGCAGTATGTCTGAGGCCTTCTTTCCCGATCGGGATTGCTGCTGCTTGCCAAATAACTTTAAACTGGTACGGGGGCCGCTAGCCATTTGAACTGGTAGGTCGAGCCCCTTACCAAAAAACTTCAAACTGGTACGGGGGCCGCCAGCCATTTGAACTTTGTAGGTCGAGCCCCTGTCAATGCGGCGGGTAGACTGCCGTGTCGGACGTACTGGTGGTTTAACTGTTCACTATTCCAGTGCGGACCCCTTCGAACCCAGAAGGCGAAGCTTGAGCTCAAACCCTATCGCTGAAAGCCCCACCATCTTCATCGAAGCCTGTTTGTGGAATCTGTGCCCTAGGCCACAGGGTCTCCACGCACCATGCTGGCCAGGCACTTACTGAATGTTTTTGCTCCCTGCTTATAAGTGCGGGCACGACTTTAGGAGCAAGTCGGTGGGAGTGCTGGGAAGCCCCGCGAACCCCGAACCCAAAACCTCGAACCTCGAACCTCAAACCCCGAACCCCAAACCCCAAACCCCAAATCCCAAACCCTGAACCCCAAACCCCGAACACCGAACCCTGAAACCCCAAAGCGTGAACCCCAAAGCTGGAACTGTAAACCCTAAACCCCAAGCTATAGCCTGTGGACCCCGAACCCAAATGCGCCCTGTAGTCCACAACTTGTGGTTGAATTGTTGAAAGCAATAGCAGTGGCGTAAGGAGTCCGTGCTTGATGAGGTGCCACATAATGGTCCATCTGCCTTCTTCTTTTTGGAATTCACTGGTGTCATTTGACCGGCCCACGGATGGATGGACGCTTGATGGGCTTTTTTCCCCTCAATTTTACATTTGAAGGGTTGCCCCACCCAATGTTGCTATGTTTATCTGATTCCGTCAACATTTGAACTCATGATCTGTTTACCAACAGTTACATGTGCTTACCATTCACCCGCATGGATTGGATGTTTGGTAGTTTGAATGCTGTATTGTTGCTTTTGCCTTTATATTTATATTACTTGCGCCAGTGGCAATCGTGAATAGAAATCCGACCATCGGAGTATGATGCGTTCTCATGACTGTCTTTCTTGGTGCAAGCTTTGTCCCTGCTCTATGCAACTGAGATGGACGTGTCCAATTCCATTGCCATGGCAGTGGCTTAGGGCATATTCAGACAGGCTGACCCTGGACTTATCTAAGGGCATATTCAGACACACTGGCCCTGGATTTATCTAAGGGCATATTCAGAGTTGTCAGATATAGTCGGAAGCATTGCAGGGCAAGTATGCCCTTAGGTGCAATTTGCCTGGATCGCCAGTTGACGGGGGCAACGATAAATATTGTACCCTGACTGATGACGGGTGTCAGTCGCGCTTTTGGGATTTCTGATGCTGTAACTGACTGTCGGTTGCATCGAGGCTCAATGGGTAATTGCGAAGGGTGGAATTGTGCAAGTGCGGATCAAATGTCTGTTCAGGTGTAAGTGTAAATGAGGTGAAGTGAAGTGAAGTAACGAAGTTCAAACATTTTGAGTCTTTTTCAGGTGGTCCATGTTGCAGGAACTAAGGGTAAGGGATCTATTGTGGCCTTTGTTAGCAGCATCCTTCGTGCCGCAGGCTACAGAGTGGGCACCTACACCAGGTACTTGCTAAACTGGTTTGCTGTATGGCTTACATACATTGTGAGCAAGCCTCACTCTCTCTATGACTTAGCACCCATCATACATTTGCATCGCTTGCTCACGCTATCTATGCATGCCTTGTCATGGTTGTGGAACTAATTCATAGATTCTCTGCGCAAGCCATACATGACTTGTGCCCACATCTGTGACCTGCTGCAAAACCATGACAAAGCTGCACATTGCTTGTGCTCTCTATCTGTCGCTTAGCTGGACACCATCACAATGTACGATGCCTGTGCTCACCAACAACTCGTCCATCTTTTCAGAACCTTTGTTGACCTTTGCAGAGTCCTTGCATTTCTTCTTCTTCTTCTTCTTCTTCTTCTTCTTCTTCTTCTTCTGCCTCTGTTTCTGCTTTTGCTTTTGCTTTTGCTTCTGCTTCTGCTTCTGCTTCTGCTTCTGCTTCTCTTCTTCATCTTTCTTCCTGGCCTCCTCTTCTTGGTAATGATGTTGGTGTGGCTGACAAAGACGGGTCGTAGGAGTAGTAGGCGTAGGAGGAGGAGGAGGAGGAGGAGAAGGAGGAGAAGGAGGAGAAGGAGGAGGATGATTCTTAGGCTGATGACTTGTGGGTGGATCAGGCTCGTGGAAAGATGATGTGATGATGGATCATTTATATATTGCAATAAAGACAAACATGACAAGGAGAAGGATCATGACAGCAAACTGGTCGTGAACCTCATTCTGTTCTCCATCCTACTTCTCCAGCCCCCCTGCTTCCCATTCTGTTCTCCATCCTACTTCTCCCGAATCAGACATGCCCATTCCTCGCTGCCATATTTGCGACACTGTATGCGCAGAGCTACGATTCCTCGGCCTCTCTCCCTCCTCCCTCTCGCTCCTCCCTCCTCCCTCCTCATTGCTTTGTTTGCCTGCGACTTCTCACACATAGGCTCTCTTTTGGATTGCCGTTATAGTAATTTATAATGGCGAGTTTCTCCCAGTTTAGTGATGATGATCCAGAATGATTGTTGAACATATACGGCTCTGGTTTCTGGTGCAGCCCTCATGTTATGAGCTTGCTGGAGCGGATTACAACTAATGAGGACGGGGCGCCCATTTCAGAAGAGGAGTTTGCCTCATTGGTCGACGATCACCGAAGCGTCATTGATGCTGTTCATATGGAAGTGGATCGAAGTCTCACATTCTTTGAGGTTGTACCCCTGTCTCCTTCCTCCTACTTGCTTAAGACCAGGCTGCAAAAGACTAATGGTGTAATAGATTACATGGTAATGTGTCTGCACCTGGTCCAAATATGGACGAGATTCTTGCCACTTCAGCACAACAATGACAGGCCCCGCCTCGGGGAGGCCAAATGTTAGTGTCGGGTTAGGAAGATGGGAAAACTGGAAAAAAGTGGGACAGAAACCACGTGGGTTCTTCAGGAACAGTATCATCGCTCACATCAAGCGAACTTGCTGGGTGCATTGTTTGGTGAAGACGCAGTGTATGATGTGTGCTTCCCACGGAATGGAAATGTACTCTTTTTGTGTTTTTTACAAAGAAAACAAGTGGACC